CTTTCTATGCATTTTTTTCTATACGCCGGAATTTATACGTAACGTATCTACGTCCTTTTCTCTGCGTCCTTTTCTTTACGTCCTTTTCAGTACTATAAAACATAAAATAAAGATAGACTTCACTGGATGCACAGAGACGAGTATGGGTCGTGGCTCTTCTGGGAGCGACACGCGCCCCCACGCCGCGATGCATATATAAAAGGCCAGTTACGTGTAGGGATGTCCCTTTAGCATCAACATTAGCATTAACCATTAAGACTAATATTTCAGCATTATTAGCATTAGAGTTAATTAATGCAGAGGTGTTAGCATTAAGTTAGCATTATTTTTAATTCTAATACATGTACTCTATGTAAGTTTTGAGAGGCTATCTGAACATGCTGCCTGTATGTAGCATCTCCGTTGGTGTCTGTAGCATTTCAAGTGCTGTCTCTACAATCTTACAATGGAAGGTCGCGAACTGCCAGTGACACAGATAGGACTTGTTCGGGTCAAACGAAAGCTCTCATCTTTAAAATATCAAATTTAAAATATTACGTGCCCATAGAATCCCTAGAGAAAGTTACTCAAATTTTAAGGTGTGTGAAATTTGGGTATAAAAACGAATCGCGAAAGATTTTCTCCACTATTGTAAGGGCGAAACATAGTGTTGTTCGGGTCATATGAAAAAGAGTCCATACAAACTCCATAATCGGCCCGAACAACACAATGCTTTGTCCTTACAATAGTGAAGAAAACGGGGTGGGGTGAGTGTGAGTGTGGGTGCTGATTCAGAGAACATCCACAGCCACATCCACCGCCACAGTCGCAGCCGCACCCACAGCCACACACCCACACCCACACAACCACATCCACACACCCATACCCGCAGCCACCGCCACACTCATACACCCACACAACCACATCCACACACCCACACCCACCCCACCCCGTTTTCTTCACTATTGTAAGGACAAAGCATTGTGTTGTTCGGGCCGATTATGGAGTTTGTATGGACTCTTTTTCATATGACCCGAACAACACTATGTTTTGCCCTTACAATAGTGGAGAAAATCTTTCGCGATTCGTTTTTATACCCAAATTTCACACACCTTAAAATTTAAGTAACTTTCTCTAGAGATTCGATGGGCACGTAATATTTTAAATTTGATATTTTAAAGATGAGAGCTTTCATTTGACTCGAACAAGTCCTATCTCTGTCACTGGCAGTTCGCGACCTTCCATTGTTAGACGGTATCTGCATCGTTCCAGGTGGTTTCTTTAGCACCTAAAATACTGCAGGTAGAATGTCCGGTAGCCCTCAATAACCTACATGGGCTTCATACATTACAATTTTAAAAAAATCTAACCTAATGCTCACACCTTGTCATTAATTACTCTAATGCCAATGCAAAAGCAGTAGCGTTTTTTTAATGCTTCTGCTTACATGACACCTGTAGTTACGCAGAGGTGTCTCATATGAAGGAAATCAGAGCTGCTGGAGAAGTGTAGAGAGATGGGGAAAATGCCAAACTATCTATAAACAGACGCTTCCATTGTAACAGGTATATGCGTAGCATCCGTGAATCTTGCGGAGAGATACCGTATCTCCAAGCACTTCAGCCAGGAATATGGTGCATAGTCTCCGTAGATTTCGTATGTATGATCGGATTCAGCCAGAGTAATGAGAAGTGGTTGCATTTGTGTTCTCATGTGAGTCTGTATTTCCTTGCTCATCGTGGCTGGTCAGTTATTTTTATTTTCGGCATCCTCCGAATGGGTCCCAGGCTGGAAATCAAAAAAACAAATTTTCATTGGGAAATGCCGATGCTGGAAATGTGGCATCTTCCTATGAGAAGTGCCTAAAGATACGACATCTCTCCAGGACATGCGCGGTTTTTATGCATATACTTATTATGATGGCATCATTTATTACTAGGTAGTTTGGCATCTCCCGCATCTTCCTACACTTCTCCAGCATCCCCAATGTTCTGGATATGTGATACTGCTGATGCAATAGCTCACCCATCTGAGTTCGTTTTTGTATGGCAATTCTTACACTCGAGATGGACTCACAGTGAAAATTTCAAGCAAAACGGTTGTATCCTTGAAGAGATAATTATACATGCCACAAAAAATGCAAAAATATCGCAAAAAGTATCTTTTTGAATGATAGTGCGCTCAGAAAAGTTTTAATAGCTCAGGAACGGAGCAATATATTTCAAACGACTTGCGTAGAAGTTCATTGAACACTTGCCTCTATAACATACATAAAACCACCCAAATCGACGATCATCGACTCTGCAGAATCGGCACTGGTTTACGTGGAATGCCTCTTATGTAGAAACAAGTCTCCATTAAATCACGTAATAAAGATTGTACAAAGAGGAAGCAGCGTACTTCTTACTTCAGAAGTACACATAAGTGCAGATGTACAGAGAAGTATTTAGAAGCACCAATTAGTATCGATTGTGAAATATCAGTTTAAGGTATCCATGGACAAGGAATCAGCTGAGAACGAGTGCACGAAATTCAGTGCTCACCTTCATCGTCACCAGTGAAATAGTAATTAGAGGTATCGAGAAACATCGTGAAGTACGAAGAAGTACCAGGTAGTTCAGAAGCACGCTGTTTGCCCCTTGAGGTCGCAGCAATAACAAGAAAGAATGTGTAAAATCAGCTAATTGCCACTTTTTTCATGCTACTATCTAATGTTAACTTAATTTATTAGATTCTCGATTACGCTGCTTTGACACAATAAAGTTTCGCTTGTACGAACCACAACAATTATCAATTTGGTGAATAAAACCAATACGTATGTATAGCACAACTTATTGTAATAGTCAACTTTATTAGAGCTAAGTTTTTAGCAGGACCATGCTTGTCGAATTACTATTGATCATCTTAATTCTATTGGTTCTGCTCGGACTCTACCTTTTCTATCGGAGATTTGGACCAGTGTACAGACGAGGTATGTTGTTAAAAGCTGAATGAACGCCAAAAAAATTTCATAGAAAATGAAAATAATTTGTGCATGAATTTAAAAGAGGCACAGTATTTGCAATAGTTCGACCGAACTACATAATTGAATGTAGGTCTGACAGTGTAAAAGGAATCATTTTTAGTTCCGACGTTGCCTCCAATCGACTTGATTATAACTCATCCTATTTCTTCGCCCGAAGTGATCATTGGTGATATTAAAATTACTGACCAATCGACGAGTCTTGTTGTTACACCGGCATGGTACGAGCCGGTCAAATCACCCGATGCTGATAAAGTACGCCTACCTGTTCATTACAATAAAGACTCTCCAACCGATGTTCGCACATTTCAATGTTTATCCACTTATCGTTCGATGAAAAATAAACATCAAATGATCGATTTTATTGCTGAACCTTTTGTTGCCACCACTGACAACACGGAAACACTCATCGTTGTACTTAATGAACTTGCTGAAGAGCTCGGTGCTCGTCTCAGCTTTACTGAGAAGGCTTTTCAATATGATAATAGTGACTATAGAACGGCATGTGGCATAGGTAATCTTGGCAGTATTCATTCGATTGTTGGAGATGGAGGAAGTTTACAAACAGCCCACTTTAGACTACATTTGAACCTCAGTTATGACGATCTAATTTCAACAGCTGAAAAATTCAAAAACTTTACGATCACATTGATCACCGATATTGCCTCGATGATTGGATGTAAAAAAGAATTTATTCGAGTGTTTTCCGTCAGTCGAGCATCGTCAGCACACACCGATATTGGTATAACAACGCAGCAGCTAGAAAAAACAACTAAATTGGCAGAACAATTAAAGCATGCATTAAACAATTTGCCAAAGCAATGTCGTCAAAGCATTCTTCAATATTTATTTAAAGAAAATTACGAATACCAGTGGAAGACAGCAATCAATTTTTTAGAACTGCAAGAATCGGATCTTGATTCTCGATACAATCGCGATTATCCCGACGCTCAAGAAGAGATGCGAGGAGGACGCCCTTACTATTTTCCTCAAGGATGGTATCGTCATGCACTAAAAGTCGATGATAAATATTCAAATGATCATGTTTGGTTGGGCATGAGCAATTCACCAGGCGAATGGTCAGTTGCTTATCATGGCACAGCAGCGGGTGCAGTAAAAAGTATTGTAAAGGGAGGTCTCAAACATGACTTTGTGACCACAGATGCGTGTAAAGATGTAGCAAAACTTCAGCGACCTTCCATTCCGGATGTAAAATGATTGTATGTGGCAACGCATTGTGAAGGAGGAGCCGCAGAATATGCTAGCAACTTCGAAATAAAAGAGTCATCGTGAACAATTCGTGAATATCAAGTTGTATTTCAATGCCGTGTTGCAAATGATCAATTTACAGAGCATCAAGGACCTGTCAGTATTGGTCTTGCACTACGAGTATTTAATGAGAAAGCAATTCGACCTTATGGTATACTTCTAAAAGAATGTTCCAGTTGTAATGTGACTACTACCCCAGTATGTGTTTAGCTCATAGATGAGCCAATGGCTTGTACATTACGAGCCAGCTTCTTTATGAACAATAACGTTTTTGTTTTTCTTCGAAACTATCAGTTTGCAACTATCAACATAAATAAATATTAGGAACAATTTAAAAATAACCTGGATTTTTTTGTGTCATTCACAACTCATCATCTAACTCAACCGAGTTTATATTTGACACATATGTGATTGAAATCGGGTTAATACTGCTAGTATTGCTCGTCAAAAATGTATTTATCGGTATTATAGCGATTTTCGTCATTTTTTGCGATCAACATCTTATTTCAAAATGATGGGTGTGGGTGTGGGTGGGTGTGAATGTGGGTGGGTGTGGGTGTGGATGTGGGTGTGAATGTGGGTGTGAATGTGAGTCCTGAAGACAAAAACCCACACCCACACCCACACGCCCACACCCACACCCACACCCACACCCACACCCAACCCACACCTACACCCACACCCACCCTCGAAACTGTAATATGAGACTTACTAGTTGATTTTGATATTCACATCGATACCCAAATTAGACTGGCGGACATAAACAATAGTTTTCTGTGAAATTATTTACATAGATAAGAATTCCACGTTTACAAATTCTACTTAGTCGATGATCTATCAATTTCGAATTATCGTTGACATTAAATTGATTAGTAGGAAAAATGTGTGCAGTTGTTGTTGTTGTGCTAGAACCGTCTTTGCTAGTAATTGTCTCAATAGGAGGATAGTGGAAATGATTTTTCAGTGTCAAATGCACAATCTTATTTTTGTATAGTCTCGAATACAAATGTTGTAGGTAGAAGTTTCGATCATAATTGTATGATAGTTGAGAACTAGCGTCAGCATTTGTCCTATTTGATGAATTTGAGACTTCTGTACACCATAGGCTTTGGTTATCACTCGATGAACAGTGGTTTTCGTTTTTATGACAAATATTACGCGTAGAAATGCACTGTGTTTCATTAAAACAGCGATAGCTTATACTCATCTTTGGTCTCAAAGCTGATCCACAACGATCGCGTTCGTCATAACCACCTATACAATCAATGTGACCATGATTGATTGGCGAGAGCGGCAAACAAGTCAAATTGTGACTAAGTGATAATAGACAAGGATGACCATCTGGACGACATGGATTATAAGAACAATTAGCTTCATCGGCTCCATTGCGACAATTCCAAACATTATTACATCGCGTATATACATTGTTACAAGACCACTGTTCACAGTCCATTTCATCTGTGTAGTTAAGACCATCAATACTTTCATAGTCGACGAAACCATCACAGATTAATAAGAATGAGAGATGAAAATACCTTGAATTCGCAACAACTACCAGCGGGCTTCAATCTTCTCCATCGGCACACATCGGTAATTCGCTATTAGTTATAGTCATAAGAATGCACTTGTGTTCCGAAGTGCATCGAAAACGATAGTCGACATCGGGCAAGAATTTATACTTAAATGATATCATCAAAATGATGTAAGAAGTCATCATAAATGTGAGTCGAAACTAAGTTTCCAGGCAAGATGACAATATCATTTTGTGTTTCTTTACAGTACAGCTCTTTAAAGTGAAAAAACATGCATTTTTTTCTGGAGTTTTAGATTTTGGGACTTTTATCAAATTTTGCAAAATATTCGACATCAGAGTTTCGAACGAATTGGACTTATAGCAAATTAAACATAGGTCTATTTTGCTGGCAGACATAAAGAGGCAAAGTAAGATTGAAGATATGTGAGACTGAGTTCGAGAGCGATTTCACAAACTTTGGTTCCATACACAAACGATCATTTTTAAAAGAAAAAACTCAATTTCCGATTCTAAAAAATTCCATACCTTATCTGTAATCGAATCGAACAGTAATTTAATTAATTATGTGCAATCTACACTTGAATATTTTTGGAAATCTACTCATTATTTTAAGCAACCAACAAATGGTACTTTAAAATCCAAATTTTTGAAAGCGAGTAGTGCACGCAAAAGTCCTGAGTTTGTTTATCTCTAGATAAGATTTTCTTTTCATCACTTCTTTTTTATACATCTTTGTAAAAGCATCACATAATGAGACAACATATTCACTGTTAAAATCCATCGAAGTTGGTAAAACTAATTCGAACATAATATAGAACATTTGACCCCTAAGTGTCATCATTCAAGTAAAATCACAAAAAAAACTTCTTTTGATTGACGAAAGCTATAGTAAATGCTTTATTTTTGATTCAATCAACAACGGCAGCTACATTTTCAATTTTTTTTTTATCATGAAATCTAAGAAAGAACTAAAAACAATGTAATCCTAGCATTTACTTCATCAAGTTTTAAAATAAATGAAATAATCCTACAGTTTTCAGGATCAAATGCAGGGAAAAAGAATCGGTACATTGTATCATTAGTTTTAAACATGTGTGAACAAACCTTTTATGAAACGAAAACTTTTCCGATTATGCTGAAAAAGTACTTGAAAAGAAACATGTATTCTAAGAAGTTTTCCTTTAAAAATACCTAGTTAGTTGTTCAAAAATCAGTTCTGATGAATCAAGACTAGTCCGACAGGTTAGAAGAACACGATCCATCCGACATCAGAAAAGTTTCGATTTCGCCTAGCGGAGTTACAGAAAATGGTTTTTTTCTCTAAGTTTTTATGAGAACCGCCACGGTGTGCTGTGTTTCCAATTTGATGACCTTCCAAAGTCGACACTTCGTTCTAACCTAGTTTAAAATATTTCTCTAGACTAGATGGAAATGAATGCTTATGTTTTACGTTTCTGAATCATAGATGAAATCACATCTCAGCATATGGAGTCAGATATTCAAAGGAGAAGTTGACAAGTATTTAGTTAATAAAAAAAAAACTTTATTGCTCGATCTAATATTTTTTACAGGGACTATTGTCTCTCTCGATGTACAGTGAGCCCAATACTGATGCTTTAGTCAACTTCTAATGAGAATACTAATTATATCGGAGAACAGAGAGATCAAAATAGGCCAAATATGGATAAGATCATTCTCGAACAACTCGCAACTATTTGGGTGTGGGTGTGGGTGTGAACCGGCCTCTTCTCTTCATCGATACACTGGCCTCCACATCCATACCCACTCACACCCACACCCTTGAAAATATAACTGAAAGTTGAAGCCGTAGTAAAATTCTCATCAGTAATTTCTTTTTAAAATGTGAAAACTGAAAATTTGAGACTTCAGGTTATTGTAAATTTTCATAAATTAAATTTACAAAACAACTGAAATTGAATTTAAGGGATTTTGAACTTCGATTTTATGTTTGCAAACGAGAACAGACGTTCAATACAAGTTTGGTTCAAATCTATAGTTTGTAGAGCAAAGATATACTCTATACAGTTCTCTTCTATGGAAAGGAGGCAGATATTGATGCAGATATTTTTTGACACTCTTCTCTTTTTTGTTACAAAGATAAGGAAAGAACATTGTTGAGTACGTATCAACTCACAAAGATGCTTCTGCTGTATCAACATTAGATATTTAACTTCGTCATTTATTGCATGCACTTTTTTCATATTTTAACTGCTGCTATCTCATGAAACATTCGTACTGTATTCAATTTTCCAAAATGAAGGTGAGTAACTGTAATCTATTTATATTTTAATATGCATAAATTTTTTGTATATGTTTTCTTTGTCCTAGCTTGTTCTTCTTTTCATTCTATTTGGTGTGGCTATGAGTAATTTGTCATCGGAATGGAATAAATTCAAACGTGACTACAACAAACAGTATGCATCAGCGGCAGAAGAAGATGAACGTAAACAAATATTTATTGAAAATGTCAAGCGAATGCGTTCATACCAACAAACTCATCCTGATGCAACATTCACAGTGGCAATCAATTCTTTAACTGATCGACGTATTGAGGTAATTTCCAGTTTCAGATATAACCGATAAAAGGTTAGACACATAGGAACTTGTATCTGGACCTACAATTCACTTTGAAACTCGACCAGCATTACTCAAAAGTTCCATCGAATTAAAAAACTTACCTGAATCGCTCGATTGGCGCACAAAAGGTGTTATCACACCTGTGATCGAAGAAGGTCCTATTGGAGTGATCTTGGGGCCCCTTGTGGCTACTGGTAAGTGTGACTGGAGACTATTAAATTAAGTTTATTCTTCGACCATTATTACCTAGAACTTGTGGAGAGTCTTCATGCCATTCATACCAACAATCTCATAGAAGGCAGCATTCCAAGAATATACGACTGTTGTCTAGTACCACCTGATCCTTTTGAATGTATGAAGAACTTAAGTGGTATTTGCCGAAAGGTTGATTATCCAGAAATTCTTAATAAATGCGAACCGAACGCATGCAAATCTTTTACTACGGTGCGTACATATATATCCATTTAGACGTATACATATTTCAGACGAGGGAAGGTTTCTGTCTACAGGTTGAACTTAAAAAAAATGAGATACTTTTTTGTAAATGTTTTTGTTTCTAATACCTAAATAATTCTTAAATGTCATAATGTTTTGAATTTGTACAAATTATAGTTTGACGAAATCAAGAGACTAACAGATAAAGACGAAAATACAATGTTGACTTGGATTCAAGACTCTACTTTATGGGTGGTAATGAACGCCTTTGGCAAGGGCTTCGGAGATTACAAGGGCGGTACGTCACTGTATTTGATACATTCATTGATACTTGTCCTTTTCTCTTCAGGTATTTACGATGAACCGACATGTCCACAAACAGATGGAAATCATGCGGTAAAGAACAATGGATTCTTTATTTTCATGTATTTGTTCAGTGCATTCCTTTTTAGATGCAAGTTGTTGGTTATGGTATTGAAGGAGGTAGACCCTATTGGCTGTGCAAAAATAGCTGGGGTGAGTATCGACTTACAGTGAGTTTCTCTTTATTGTTCTTCGCAATTTTAGGTGAAGGCTGGGGTGAGAAAGGCTATGTTCGTATGGTACGCGGTAAGAATATGTGTGGCATCGCCAATGGAGTCATACAAGTTGCCTATAAAAAGACCAGCAGTGCCACACAATTATATAACATTAATTCAACTTCTCTTGTATTGCTATTAGGGATAATGTTTTCTCGAGATATCGCTATATATGCCTAATTGCGACATGAAACTTAACAAGCAAATCCATATTCCATTCGATTTATTTTTTTTTAACTTTTTAATGGTCTACAATAAAGCAATAGACGATTTTTATAGATCACAAAAGTACAAAAAAAACAAGATAGGTGATACATGTGGAAACGATGTATTATACAATATGATTATCTTCTACTTTTCTTCAAGAGCAAAATAGGTTCGATGGTGTAGAACATACACGTTCCTTTATATTCTTGAACTTGAAGAATCACTATCGATACATAATATCGCATGTATATATACATATTACATCCGAGGAGAAAATAAGAAAAACATGGGCAGATGAATACTTAGATAAATATAAATGACACATTACAACACTCTACTTTCTTAAGAAAAAAAAAGATTTTTAGATAGAGAGAAAAATCTTTTTTTTCTTGTAGAAAATAATAACATTTTTGACATCATATAAGAAATTAATGTAGACAAGGAAAATGAACTAATGTAAGACTAGATTCAACAGAAAACAGCAAAATCTAATAGCAGGAAACAAAAGAAATAGAATGTGACCGACAACGATAGAATTTATACGAAACGTATTCGATCAAATATTATAACTTATATTGTATTAATATAAGTTGTTCATATGCTCCATTTCATGTAAGCCATGACCGATGGCATAGAGAAGCTGCTCAAACGAGTTCTTCATATTTTGCTTAATTTAAGATACTTTTATAGAGGACAGAGTTTCATGAACTTTGACGCAAGCCGTTTTGAAAACTATTGAGCTGTTAATTTTTTTATGGCTCTTTTACGAAAAGTACTAGAAATCAACATTTCGGCCTCTGGAGAACACTGTGCACAGCCAGGCGACAAAATCGATTTGTGAGATCTGAACCTATACCGTAGCTAGGTGTGGGTGTGAGTGCATACGAAGAAAGCACCTATACCCTACACCCAGACCCACACTTTCTCTTATCCGATTTTCTATCAATTAGAATGACTGAAAGAGACACGGAAAAAATTGTTTTCGCTCATCAAATCTGTTTTTTTTTCTAACAGGATACTCGAACCTCTTGTTATATCAACTAATACGATAGACGTCTGCCGTGTATCTTTCACTTTTTGTCTGTTCATCTTTGTGTACTGTGTACCGTTATTGATTCTGATTATAAAAAATAGTTACATTAGATGAACTTCAACGAATGCGTCAAAAAATTGAACACGATATCAAAGCTGAGTTGAGTCGAAAAAAAATCGAAATGAAACGACAATTTATTAAAAGTAAGCATGATTGTCATTAGATATGTCGCACACAGTAGTATTACAACAAGAACAAAAATATAAGCAAAACTATCTGCTATCTTTGTTTATCTGTTTTATTTTTCTATGCATCTTAGGTATTCTAATCACACTCTGTGGCTTTCTTTGCACATGAACACCATATTCCATTGCGCTTTTCTATTCAGCATTTAGAGGCAAAGAGCATGTTACTCCACCTATGGTTACATTTATTTGTGCCTCTGTCGCAAAATCATCAGTGATCTGGATTCTAATTTTCTATATGAGAACATCTACTCACTTTCAAATACGTTATATCAAACCAAGTGTATTTTACAAACAAGACCGACCAAGTGATGTGAGTGTACTACCAACGAATTTGCCACGAATGTATATGCATAATAAGCAGAGATCAACATTGTCAGCTTTTAATTGTATTTTACACAAAAATATGATTGTGCCAATAATAAGAGCATGACCTATGTGCATTCTATCTTGTTTCAATGATGTCGGAATAAACAGTCAATACATAGCGAACCACTCTTATCTCATGATCGATATCATATCCTTGTTTACTGTGTTCTCTATTTAACCTTCTCTCTTCTCTGTGTCTTCTGTCTCGTATAGAAGTTCGTGTTCTGTGTGAGAAGGACACAACTGGAATGATGTTGTAGTGTAATGAACATTCATACCAAGGATGGCGGTAGCTCTACTCCTTCAGTTTGTCAATGATCATCGTAAACAAAAATATAAACAAAAATAGTAAAGAAATAAGAACAAACCATTCATTCATCCTTCCATCTCTTTTTTATTACAATGATCATCATCTCTGAACAGCAACATATTTTTTATTACTACAATTATTCATAAATCAGCGGTGGCAAAGGACATATTAGGGCTTTGTAAATGCCGCAACTGCGGTGCTATTCTCTATTAGACTGTAACCCCCACACTTTTTTCGAAAAAAACGGCTTTTCAGAGGTATGACCTTGCCCTAGAACGAAATCATTTGTTTTGATAACATGTCGAGTACAGAATTGTAAAGATGTCCAAAATTTGCAGCTTTTTGAGTAGAGTCCTGTGAGACAAGCCTTTTCATGTTATTGATTTTAACTCAGTTAGTTGCCATGATAACTCTTTTCTTCTTTCCGATGGATTAATCACGATTCATATCATACACCCGTTCTTCACACTAAAGCACGATCTTGAAATTAGAAAAAGTTTGTCGAGATCGTGAGAATATGACTAGTGTATATCAGAAATCCGTTTTTCAAAAATTCGATTCCGTTTTAGAGGCCATAAAAATGTAGGAAACGATAATCAGAAGTTGAAAGCTTTTTTATATGATCGCACATGACTCAATCTGGGAAAAAGAACATTCATATTTCAGATGTTATTTGCAATAGTTAATTGAGTTTCATTATCTCTTAGATAAGAATTTTGAAAATTTTCAGAGCAACCCCGATTGTCTTATGCGACCGGCTTGACATGCCGGTATCTACTTTGAAGTCATACAAGAATGTGTATAAAACGTTCGAAAAATATATTATATTCAGCTCATGGATGGAGACACAACAATCATATATAAAGTCGCACTTGCCGCTAATTCTGAAGTAATGACAAAGTTCAATAGCTCGAAAGAATTGTATCCATTTGACTTACACTTTTTTCTAATCACAGCTATATAGCTACTCAAAATTTCTATGGCATTGAAGAGTCATAAAACAAACACATTAGTAAGATATGAAATAATTTCTTATTTATGGTCACTATCCATTTTTGATAGTTTTTAAAAACATTACACTCTATACTTTGCTCTATTTGTGACTGTAAGAGTAAGGCTTCTAGAATTTTCCGTTCGAATACAGTAGACTTCCGTGTGTATCTGAATATTTATGCATTGTAGACTATTCTCTATCTAAAGGAAAAAAATGAGTATCCAATTAAAAATATCTGTCCAATTCATTTTCTGATCAAATAATGCTCAGAGAAAGGTTTATTATCATTTTATAAAGTCGATCTCTTTTCCATTAGGCGAATATCATCATAGCAATTGATGAAAACTTGACATGAATATTAGTTTTCCTAAGGAATCTGTCATGAATATGTCATGGAAAATATCTTTTCTGTCAATGTCACTGTTTCTAGACGTTAAACAAGGTTTTTTCGAACAACTTCAACAAACTGCACATTTGTCCGTTTATTTAAGATATGAGTATGGCTGTTAGTAACGCGTGGATGTCGGTATTAATGTGGGTGGATGGATGTGAGCATAGATGTAAGTGTGGGGTGTGGCTATCGGTGTTGAGGTGGGTTCAGATGTGAATGTGCATATGCTGTGAAAGAAGATCTACACCCATACCCATCCAATAGTGGTACTAATCCTATTGGCTTTTATTATTGTGAAAGAATGGAAAATGTAATCAATATTCAACCAAAAAAAAATGACATGATTATTCAATTTCGGTAGTCCGGATAAGCAGAATGATCTTGATCATAGTCAAGCTCACGCATAGCAGCAGCAAATTCTAAAGTACCGTATGAATGTCGATTGAGACTCTTAGCTCTATCCATGCTTAGCTGGACAAGTCGATCTTCCGGTATGATTAAATCATCCTTGGTAAAGGCCATTGAGCATGCATGCGATTGCATTTCTGCAGCAGCGCATAGGGTGTACGCATGGTAGTACGCAGCACCAACAGATGGTCCACAAGTGAGCAAGCCATGGTTACGCAAAATCATTATGTTCTTGTCTCCCAAATCACGCACAAGCCGTTGTTGTTCATCGTTCGATCTAACAATGCCCTCATAGTCATGATAAGCAACCTCCCCAGCTATATGTGCGGTCTGTATCAGTTCGATCATTCCACTCTTTGTTGCCGACAGCCCGGCTACAGCCCAGTAATGATTATGGAGCACGCAGTGAACGTCTGTACGAGCTCGATGAACGCAAGAATGGATTATGATGCCTGCTTTGTTCAGTCCCATAATGTCACCCACTACACCTGGATGAATCATATTTCCATCATAATCGATTTTAATCAGTGATGACGCAGTAATTTCACAGTAGTTCAGGCCCAAAGGGTTGATCAATAAGTAATGTTCGTCATTTGGACCAGCCACATTACAAGTAATATGATTATAGATAGATTCTAACCACCCATTTTTTGCAGCTAGTCGGTAAGCCGCAGCCAATTCGATTCTTGCTTTCTGTTCATCAATACTAAATTCATGCAGTATAGAACGACTTAAACGTTCACGTAGGTATTGGCGAGAATATTTGTAGGAGCCAGGCATGTAGGTCCTCGGATTGAAAACATTTTGAAGATCTTCTGATGTACCTTGTGATTTTGTGATTGCTTTCCTATCTTTATCATGTAGTGTAGCTTCATTTGCATTATTGTGCCAGCTATCATCAAAAGGAGTAGCAGAGTTATTTGGAATAGTAAGTTCTTCAGAAAGCATCTCGAATAAAATTAAAAATCACAATGATAAAGGTAGGATCGAAAATAGAGTGTTTGTTTGATGATAGTATACGTCTGTACGTTGCCTACAGCACAGGAGAAAAGAAACAAATCTATCGCTCGCTTGGTGCACTACCAGACGAAGAAAAAGAAAAGAAATCATCTGCATTCTTTCACTTGCAATAACAAGTAGCGGTAATACTTTATCTCATTCTACACTATCGTTATTCTTTGTTTTTTTATCTCATGCAATTAAAGAAACGCTCATCTTTCAATACCTTTTTCTTGTTTTTTCTCGTGAGAGATACCTCTAGCTATTATCAAAAAGAATCAAATGTCAATCAATAGATATGCTTTTTCAACTTAGAATTCATCTGCATTTCGAACTACGCCGTTTTGCCCTTGACTACAACCAAGATAAACTCAGCATCATTCATACTGATGACACTCAAGATGATCTATTTGTCATTTAACTGATCAAAATGTTGAGTAATTCAGACTATTTATGATCATCCTACCACTTCTGAGTCTCTTCTTCTTCTTTCCTCTCACGTATCTGGCCTAATCAATTTTTTGTTCAACGTTCTTGTCGACTCAAAAAGTGAAAGTCGATCGACGATGATTAAAGTCTTGAGAAGTGAAAAATTGGTCAGGGTTTGGGTGTGGATGATAATGTTCTCTTCGTCCACATCCTATTTTGGTTGTTTACTGTGGATATGTTAATTTGTTTTTAGGTTTTGTTATCATGGTTAGTGAAGACTTCACATGTCTTGTTAGTGTACAACATTTAAAAAAAACAACAAAATCTAATTTATTGTAGTATGATTCATTTTTATTCGTTTTAAAGATTTGGTCATGCCTACAGTATACTTGCTCGATCAGATATTAATGGTGATGCGAGGGTGTGGGTGTGGGTGCAGATGGGTTGATAATGTGATTATATTCCATCGAACCTAACCCACTCTTTCTTTTACAAGAAAAATAACAAAGATAAATGATATCATTGCTATTCTTTTTCATTTTCAACGTGATATTAAATCAATTTATAAAAATATTAGGTTTGGTGATGTTTGCTAAATTTAGTGAATATTCTAGTAACAAAGACGTTTTATTTGATTTAAATGCTTGCTTCCAAAGTAAGACTATTCAAGAAGAATAATAATTACAAATGATTACAATGAATGTTTCAAATGATGGACACACACTTAGGAAAGACTTTATTAAATTATCACAAATAGGGTGTGTGGTTGAGGGTTTGGATAAGGAGAAGACTTATGTGAAACACAACACGCACACCCATCATCTCTTTTTCGAACCATTTATTTATTTGATAAACTTTCATTTAATAAAACAAACGAAGTAGTGTATTTAAACAGAGAGTCTTTTTCTTGAAAGGTTTTATTTCACAGTGGACGTCCAGAAGGACGATGAAACTGGGCAAATCTGACAACAAGGATCTCCAGAGTCGATTTTTATATAGACGTTTTGTGCGAGTGTTTCCTCAACAAATACAAACAAATTATAATTATCAAACAAAAGGTGTAGAATGGATTTTTAGTAAAGGAAAATTTGATATATTACAAGCTCGTCCTAAAACAACTTTATTTCCAATACGAGAAAATCCTCATGGGCAACCCAATGTATGATTTATAGTATTATTTGATATCTTTTAAGAACTTCTTGAATCTATGACACTTTCAGGCTCAAGTACGATCAGTACTCTTATTAGTAATTCATTATGAATAATAGGTATTAATCAAATAACTTCAGTTGAAGAGGATGTATCTCTAAATCTATTGCGATATAATATAGTTAAATCAGCAAGAAACTGTACTTGGATTGATATTACTATTATGTTACCATCATCATCTATAAGTTTATTTGGGGTGTCAACAGTTGATACTGGAATGAGTAAAACAATAAATTATTTGATTCGTTCAAAGTACTTTCCGTGAAAATCAATATTTTCATCATTAAAATCACCTTTATTTTTATTCTGATTTTCTATTTCTTTAATTATAAAATCCATATGAAATTTAATATTTCCACGATGTGGGAAAAAAGTTTTTTATGAATGCAATAGAAAAATATCATCAAGGCATTAATAAAGGATTTGAAGATAAAAACAATCATAGTTTTTCTCATTGTGTT